GTTGCCATAAGAAGTCTGTCATCATTTAAAATGTTCGAGTGAAAGCAAATGGAATCGGATTCAATTACTTATATCTACAGTGGTGTAATTCACTGTTTTGTTTTAGCTTTTGATAAATCGGCGTAATGGTCTGTTACTTATATCTACAGTGGTGTAATTCACTGTAATTCACTTTTGTTTTAGCTTTTGATAAATCGGCATAATGATCTTTGGACAATAACAAGGAGTTATAGTAAGTCTCTAAAGCGGAACTGAAGTAAATTGTTGCTTTGTTGCACAAACACATACTGCATACTTTGGAAAGAAAGGAAATGAGTTCTGAGAGAGAGGCTGGTGGCTGCAATCTTCCACCACCTACATTTACTTTCAAGATGTTAAAAGTAGAGATGTTCTTGACTCTTCGTGTTTGCTTTTTGGATGTTTAACGCAGCAAATATTTTGAGAAACTTAGAGATCAGGGGTGTAGTTTATTTTATTAAATGTTTTCCACATCATCTGAATCATGTTGATAGCTCTCTTAGCCCCTGCAATGTCCTGACAAGGAGGTCAAGAGGATTTTTTATTTTTGTTTCACTCTTCCTCCCGCTTCCCCTTGCCTGTTTATTATGAGACAGGGAAGGTGTATTGAATTAAGAAGCACGGTTCAAATATTTTCTATTTTATCTTTTTGCACTGAAGTCTGATATCTTAGGAGGTAGGTATAGTTTCCTCAATTTATTTATAAAATTGTGTGAGTTACATTTAGGCAAGGTTACTAATCAAGCCCAAGCCTATAAATGGAATGTCTAACCCCTTTGACAATAGCAATCATCTTTCTCAGATGGCAGGGGTCACGTAAACTTCTCTGTTGACTTTTTACCCAGGTGATAGATTGCACTCACCTGTGAGTTACTGAAAGAACCTGCAATTTCTGCTCCACAGCAATGTGCTGTTGAGTTGCCAGTCTCTTCTGTGTAGTATCAAAAGTGTGAGTTATGTCATCTATGGCTGGACCACATTGTTGATTAAGGTTTCAGTTGAAAACATGGATGTCTGTATTGGGATGTAGAAGTCCAAGAGAATAGTAAGCATGAAGAATTGTACACCATTGCCCAGTAGCATTAATTCAATGAAAGTGAACTAAGATTCCTTTTAAACCAAAAACTGTTTCCTATATTGTGTGTTGTACCCAAGTACACCTCCATTCCAGGCATTTTACATCAAGCAAGTGATTGAATTTTGCCTTTATGTATTCTTAAATTATAAAACTGACACACCAGTTCACGTTAAGTCTTTGTTTCACATAGCTTAAGCTGTACCACTCCCTTTTGTAAACTAGAAGGCTTCCTGTAGCCCTCAGTTTCCCACAACGTTGCTGCTGATTGATTTTGCAGGGCAGGGAGGGATGAGACCAGAAGTACTCAATGTGGTAGTGATAGCTTAGGAAAGGTGATGTCTCTGATCCTTTGGCAACTGAAAAGCTCTCCTGTGTTGTATTCTCTTGGTCTCCCATGCAGAAAGCTATACCTTTGCCTACTCTGTATTTGTGGTTTTCCTCCAGGAAACTGGAACTGATGTTTGACTGAAATCAGGCTTGTGCTCTTCCCTCAGCTGTGCTTGGTGGATGGTATATCAGTATATGGCTGTTTATGTATGGAATTTCAGGAGCTCATCCAAGATTATCAGTTTTAGTGAGAATTTAATAGTTAAGTGTTGTGGAGGTTAAAAATGCAAATACTTCCTGTTGCAATCCTGCTGAGAGAACTAACTTGTTAGTTCAGGACCAAATGTGAGATGTGAATACAAAGTATAAAGATAAGAGGGGATTCTACATAAGAGGGATTAATCCTGTATTTGTTATTAACGGCAATAGTTCTATTTTAGAGTTGCAGCTGAGCACAAAATTTTGCATCTCTATTAAATATTGTCCCTGCTCAATAAACCTTTTGAGTATGTGTTGGAATCTGAAGTATGTGCTTAACTGCCTTGCTGAATTGGGGCCTTCATTACCAAATTGCAGGTGTATGTTAGCTTCAGTATTTAAGGAAAAAAAAAAGTAAAACAATGCTTATTTTGTTCTGTTCAGTGTGGTTTGTTACATTAATGGAAAACATCAGAAACGCTGTGCTGTTGCTACGCTGTCCGAAACGGATTTAATACAGTTAACAGCTTGAGTGTTCAGTATAAGAAAGAGTCCAGTTAAGAATTAACATGGAGTGATGAAATTAAAATTTAAAAAATGAAAGTGAGATTCTACTTTTTTTGTGTGTTTGTAATATTGTTGTAGAATGAGACTTTTAAATGTTTTCCTGACTAAAAGTGTGCTTCAATGATATTTTGTAAATTCTTATGTGGATATTAGAGCATTTTTTATATGTGTGCAATAGCTGAGTCTCTGTAAACATTTCCATAATAAACTTCTCTGTATACTAGGGCTTAATAACTTGCTCATAAAAATGGGCTTTGGGCATAAAAGTGGTGTACTGCTCTGCCAGAAAGCTTGTGCTTTAAAAATAAATAAGATTACTTAGAAAGAGAGAGTTTTAGAAGGAAACTGAAGAAAAAGTGTGCTGTACTGAACTCATTCCTGATAAATATTTGACCAATATGGTCTTTAATAAATAAAAACCCATTTAACTAGACAAACTAGTTCAGTGCTGAGCTAATCTTTCTAATCTTGAAGTCTGAACTAAATATTTTTTTTTTGTCCTACTTTAAGTCTATTGCTACATGAAATGCTCATATGTGGAATGTAGATAAAGCGTTAGTTTCCTATTTTCAGCTATGTCTCATAGGTTTAAGAACTCATTTGGCTTCTTAAAATTTTTTTTTATTCTAAATTTAAGTGGACAAAGGGGTTTTGAGTGTTTCTTCTTTAAACATGTTTTCTCACTCTCTGATATCTTCAGTTGTTTCCTTCTGGAAAGTCTCCCATTAATCTACACAATTCCTAAAAAGTAGTGTCCAAATGTGGGCATATTGCTCTTAAAAGATTGCTTTGAAGAAAGCAGGAGGATTGTCCTCTGTGTATCCTGGGGTGATTCATTCTTTGATGTAAATATCTATACAATGGCTACTGCATAGAGGCTATCAAATAGAGTGCTATTTAACAATTCCTTTTTTTTTTTTTCCTGGCTGGCTTGTGAAGAAGCAAGTGTCACAATAAACAGAAGAGACAATGTTTAGAAAGGAAATGAATATTGATATTTAGCACACCTGTTAGATATAAATGCGTGTAACATTGTCTTGTATCAGTTTTGGTATGCAGACCTGTAAAATACGCTTTTTTGTAAGATAAGATACCTATAAAAGGCCTGTGATCTGTTAACAGGGAAATAATTATTTAACTGTAAAACCTGGCTTTGCTTCACTGGCTTTTTACTGAAAACCAGGGTGGCTGAGAGCTATTGATTCGTACTTTAGGTTTGTATGAAAATTTTCAAAATAAAGATTTGTTTTAGTTTCCTCATACTTTATTCTATCTGGAATTACAGAAATAAGATGAAGGATTGTCTGCATTTTTACTGGCTATGCCCCCGCCCCAGTGATTTTTCTGTTGCAGAATAACCTCAGTGTTGCTTGTGGGATGTTTGTGCTCTGAAGCAGAACCACTCACGCAGATGTGCTTTCCGTGCGAAAAGTAAATCAGCACTGTATAAAACATGTCGATGTAACAGGGTTTGTACTGCTGTGGTGCTACCCGTGTAGTTTCAGTAGCCCAAAACATCTTTGGCACACTGAACTCCGTTGTTACTCGTCACAAATGTGGGCCTGTAACATGCTATAGGAATGGTACACTAGAGGGTTTTTTTTTTCCTTCTCTCCACCAACATAAATGTAGCTATAGCTACATTATGCTAAATGAGACCACCAGATCTTTGCTTGTCTCAGACATTCCTTTATTTAAGATATTGGACTATGATGAGAAATAGGAGAGAAAAGCAGTTGAATAAGGTATGTTCCGCCTTACTATAAACTCTATGAAGTCTTCATTTTTACTTAGCAATGCTATGGAGGAGCTGAGAAGCTCTTGCTTCTCTTAGCAATGTGTCTTCCAACCAAGGCAACTGTCACAAGTCTAGATTCAGTAGGCATTCACTTGCATGCTTGTTAGCTTTGAGACTCTTTAGGAAAAGTTGAATTTGTTACTGTATTTTTGACCTTTACAAATGTATGTATATTAATGTAATTTGCAGGTAACCAGGACATTCGGGGTATGGTCTGGCATAACAATATATAAATTTAGTAGAAAGTTTTGATCTTTAGTAGGTTATGACTTCAAATCAGTTGGATTTCTTGTAATACTGAGTGTATCTGTGGCATTTTACAGTGAAGTTCAAAATGAATATTGTGTATTGTGAAAGATATAGACTTTTTAGTAGGTATAAATCTTCATATTTTTATTCAGGGTTTGAACTTGGGTGGATACATAGGCATGAGGATAGATATTCTGCAGATTTCTGTATGTCCTTCCTGGATATAAACTGAGATCCCTCAGTGATATTTTCCCATAGCAAGTTGTGAAATCAAACAAGGGACATAGTCCCTTGAAAATAAGTGTAAGAGAAAAATAGAGTTGATAAACAGCCAAATAATGTGAGCAATATTTGCATATACATTTTTAGCTATTGTAAATTAAGGCTTAATTTCTAGGCGAAATGGAGCATTGTGTGAATCTGAGGAGATAAAATGTGAGAGTACCAATTTCTTGAATGTCTCTTTCTCTTATATTTTAGCTGTATTATTGAGAAATAGAAAGGAATCAGCTTCTAGCGATGAAGTAGTTGAGTGAAATATAACAAAAATTACGTACATGTACATATTTTTTCTGCTTTCCTACTTGTTTTTCATTCATTGCCTCGTACTCTACCAATGCTGAAGATTTCAGGCATGTTCTGCAGACGACAGCTAACCTATTTGCATTCACCAGACATAAAATATTGCCATTGTATTATCTAGTGCTGTTCCACAAACATTGGAAGGATAACCAAGTAACTTTTGTTTTTCTGTTGTCTTCAAAGGGACGTCAGAGATGGCTTCAGAAGAAAAAGCTGCTATCCTTCTCATTATATGAGAGAGCGATCCCCTCATAAGAGGGACTCTCCTTTCTTCAGGGAATCGCCAGGGAGCCGAAGGGATTCTCCACACAGCAGATCTGGCTCTAGCGTCAGCAGCAGGAGCTACTCTCCTGAAAGAAGCAAAGCCTATCCTTTCCACCAGTCCCAGCATAGCAGAAGTATGTCATCTTTACATAAAAGAAATATTTCTTCTCAGCAAGGTATGCTGGATTAATGATGAGAACTGGTTAGTGAGATGAAACTGCAACTCACTGTATAAGCCTTTTCTTTTTTCATGCTGTCCTTTACACTGAGAAAACTAGACATTTTGTACCAATTATGTGTCGTCTGCTCTTTGATTTTTCCATTGTACTCTCTGTTCCCTTATGTATTTCGTGTGGGAGACTGTAGGTGTTATTTCAGTAGCAGCTCTAGACTGACTGTAGGAGTTTCAGCTGCACAGCTTTTTCGAGTGTCGTATGTTATTTTCCTTTTAGCATCAACTGCTTCTGTTACTTCTTTCTGCTTCACTGGATTCCCTTACAAGAAACTTTGCTGACATCTATAGCAGATGAAGACTTTTCTTCCTGTAACCAGGGGAAAAGAAGGATTTTAAAAATTGGAGAAATTAAAGTACATGCTGCTACTTGTTACATTTTCTAAAAATGTTCTTAGAACTGTATTATTAGGATTTCGAAACTGGTTGTTTTTTAGCAATCTCATCTCATCATCATATTCTCTCAAATCTTGCTTTCCTCAAAGAAATGTGAAATATATCTCGGTTGAGACTATACTGTGTATGTTCTGCCTTTTAAAAGATTGGCTGTTAATCTTTCCCAGAAATCTAATGAGTCATCTGTTTTGAAAATATTTAAGGTTTTCCTATTTAAATAATTTGCAAAAAAAAAAAACAGGCAAAATTGCTTTTTTTAGTATGCTACAATCTTAGCCACTGCCGTTAGTACAGTTTATGTAAATTAATCTGATTTGATTTCCCTTTCTGCAAATGCTTTCTAGTGAACTATACAAACCTACTGTTCATTTTGGCAGCTTTTAAAAAATTAATTAATTAGATATTTTTTTATTCACTGATAGGCATATTGTGTGTTTCCAAAGTCATACACTGGATGATTACATAGCACTTCTTGCCAAAAAGGGTCTTACGAAGTTTAGTTAACAATGTTTAAATATTGAGGAATCATGTCACTCCTTGTAGAATGCAAGTTATCTTTCCAGCTCATCATTGCAATTCTTTTACCATTTTGTAGCAATACTTAGTGAACCTGAATTCTTGTAAGTGTAGGAGAGGAAGAGAAAAATATGATATATAACTAAATTTGTAGAAGTGTTGTGGATGTGTGCGGATCATAATTACCAGGAACAGGAAAAAATTGTTGTGAAAAAACATATAAAATTTTGGAATGTTTCAGAGTTTTCCTAAAATTTTGAGCTGACTTCTGTCACGTTTGTAGTATATTGACAGCATTATTCAAACAGTAGTGAAGGTAGTGAAGTAGAATCAGACATCTTCACAAACCAGCAGAGATGCTGGTCAAGAGAGGAGGTTACATTTAGGTCTGTGGCTTTTGGGAATTTTTTCCAGTTGCATGGTTAAACACCTCTCCCCATCATCTTTACATCAGTTTTAAGAGACCAGATGGCTTGTACACTGGACTATTTCTTTACAACTACCTGTTCCCTGGAAAATAGTACTACTAAACTGTTCCTCTAGATGGCTGAATTAAAATGGCCTATTGGCAAGATATCAATAGCTTAAATAATATTTTTAGAATCGTGTTTTAATGGGATTTGTCTTAGGTAAGCTCATGTATTACATACATAAAAGAAACATTAAGTGGGACATATATATGTCAGCGATACATTTTAGTCTGTACTGAAATGGGTTCGCAACAAACGAAGTGTATACTGTTTCATGCAAAACTAATAATATGGTGTCTTTTTAAATGTTATAATACTGTTTAAAATCATGCAGTTTGAATCAGTTTGGCCTGATGACTTCCGCTGAAGGAGGAATATCCCATTCTCTCCAGCCCTTCGTAAATTAGGATAAATACAGGATTTGAACAAAGAAAACTGGGGGTACATAAAGAAGCATAAAGAAACTCGGTCAAGGAAGGGGAAGTGCTGATGGGAAAGGACAGGTGTTCAGCTGTGGTAGGAGAGCATGGAGAGAAGCAGGGTGGTTTTCCTCCACCGGTCCAGTCAGTAAGGGGTCTGTAGAGCAGTGTGATTGAAG